TGCTAAAAATTAATAAACATTTTTGCTTTTGCTATCCAAAATGTCTTTGGATCAAAATATGTAGATCAAATTACAGATACTGTAAATATTTAATTATTTGAATATTTATTTGAAATTTTGATCCAAATTCCAAATGTGCTTTAAATAATAGAAGCAAAAGTACTTGAGAATCAAAAATAGAACTTCCGAAAAACAGAGAAAGAAGTTTAACAATGTCACAAGTCAAATGCGGAGACGTCCCGACTCGACCGTGCCCACTTGCACTGCCAGCCACAGCTTGAGGCATCGCTGACTCTGATTTGCAGCATTGCCAAATTCCCCATGCGAGTTTTATTTTTGTTTGATTGTCCGGTACCTATTAATGGAAGAAACTCACATATTTTACAATAACTATGTAAATTGCTTTATTTATTATAGTCAACAAGCAATGAGATGATACATACATACATACTGTACATACTATCTTCAATAAAGCAGTTTACATAGACACAACTTGATAATTTTTAGTTTATATGATTTTACAAAAAGAGTATTGTCAATATTTGAGTGAGCACAAGTTACTGTAATCATAAATTATAATATAATTTTAATTTTATTACTAATAATTAACATTTAAAAGTACTTAATAAATTATCATTACTATAGATAATTCTATGACTATAGTTTGTAGCTTAATAATTGTTTTCTACTTGAAATGAACATTTCAAAATTTAAAGCAATAAAATCATCAAAAACTTTTTAGTTATTTAAATATTAATAAATTTTTAAATGAGGATAAAAGACTTCAAAACAATTTCATTAATTTATTTTAATTATTTATTAACTTTATTGTACAATGGAGCAAATAATTATAAATCTCATCTTTTAAGTGAAAAATGCCAATACTTTTATTTATTGAAAATAGAACTTCAAATTTTTTAACTCTATTTGTGCTTATTCCAACAATATCAATTAATTTATATGTTGACGTACCAACACATTTGAGCAGAACTGGTCTGTACATAACGGTGTTGGCCAGCATAGACGAGGAATGGAAAATAATGCTCTACGTCAGTGCTACTTAAACTGTGGACTGGAGCAAGATTTTTCTTAAATTTTTGTAATTTTAATTTTATACATGTACCTAATTTTATATTTTACTTTTGCTTAATTTTTGTAATTTTTGTAATTTTAATTACAAAAATTTAATGTAAACATTAAAAATATTTAAAAAATTATATGTAAAAATTTATATGTAAAAATTATATGTAAAAATATTTATATGTAAAAATTTAATGTAACTACCTACAAAATCAGCCTGCAAACCTTTTTTTTTTTTTTTTTTTCTAGATTAGTACACTGGACGTTGCATAATTCATGAAGAATACCAGGGATGTACAGTACACTATAGACAAGAAAACTTTTTGGGTTGTCACAGCTGATTAGTGCACCCTCCCTAAAACACCAGGTTATACCCAATAAAAAAAATGGAGGATTTTTTTCTGTATGTATGCGTGTATGTGTGTATGTAATGTCTGTAAGTGTGTGTGTGTGTGAGGGGAGCACGATTTTTTCACTCAATTTAAAGCTTAATAACTCCTGTGTTTTTTGTCGAAAATTTCTGAAATTTTGCATGGAGGTTTGTGTATTTGTGTCATTGATGCTATTAAATTTTGGTGATTAAACGTCTATGGTGTGGGGAGATAAAGGGTGTGTCATATCTCGAGTAGGGTTTGAACTTAATGGCGATTTTACTCGTTAATAGCCATTACAGTTCTTTTATAAAAAAACATCCCTAAACTCAAAACTAAGCTTTTCTCTATTTTATAATAATTAAAACATATTAAAAGATTTTTTAATAAGATATCGC